CATGTGGAAGAATTTGGTATATGACTACCCCTGTCTAAACCACACATTGATCATTTAGCACTGATTAGCGTTCATGGGCCGGTGGGGTAGCCTAGAGGGTAAAACATTCGCTCCTCATGCCCAAGTCCTGGGTTCGATTCCCCACATGGGTACAATGTGTGAAGCCCATTTCTGCCTGATATTGCTGGAATATTGCTAAAAGCGGCATAAAACTAAACCCGCTCACTCTAAGCTGTTATTGACAAAGCACATCACTAATCCCAGTGTTATGTGAATTTAGTCACAGTATATTGCATCATCAAACTAGGGGTTACCTTTTACACCAGTACTTCATTAATCCATGTAAAATCGTGACAGTAATCGAAGGTCTGATTATACTTGATATATAGACTAGTTTATTCATCTATGTTTCCATTTTGATAATTGTTGGGATCTAATGTATGTCATGGTTTTATCTGGTGCAGCTAGATCATTATGTCCAAATGCTCTGTCACATGTTAAGTCAGGTGTCATATATGCTAGCACTGTCCTCAGAGATGCTGTATCAAGACTGATTGTAATGTAGTGGATACAAGTGTCTGTAGTCTGTTTAACAGGCATTAAAAAAAAAATCCTGAATTTTCACAGACCAGAATCTGAAATGGTTAAGAAATTGTCATAGACTTGACCCATGAATATGGCTTTCTCCATATTTTTGAAATTCAGCTGAATTGTTAATGTATTACTCTGTTTAGCTTTAAAAGTTCACAGGTATAATCAATTGAAATGAAAAAGTGGACTGCTCTAGGTAGGCCCCTCAGAGAGTGATTGACCTCTTTATTTACTTGATTTATAGCCTATGTTTAGATGGAAATGTCAACAGGGGTTGGAGGAGCAATAATAATGTCTTTTCATTTCAACATACATGTGATACAAATAGTACAGAATCTTATCAAGCTTGTGGTATTTTTCAGGATTGTCCTGTAGTATCTTCTCGGTTTCTGCAGTTGCACAACACATACTGTGAAATGTATATGTAATAAAACCTTTCATTCATCCTCTTGTTTGTTACTGTATATTAGGAGTTGAATGGTCCCCAGCAACAAGCTACTTAAGCTACTAAATTCAAAGTAGTGGTGTGACAATTCATCACTATGCATCGATCAATGGTCTGCCCATATAGTGAATCGATACAAAGTTTTACATTGTTGTATATCGATCACGATGCTTCAAATGAGCCATGATACATCGATGTTTAACTTTGAATATTGATCGAATCATGATATCTTGTCAAGAAAAAACTTACTTTTGTTTGATGATTAAAATATATGCACACTTATTTCCCTTCTTGAGTAAACGTTTTCTTGGAAATCCTTGCGTCAAGAACTGTGTCAGATAAGAAGCTCACATGTTTTAACATTCACAAAGTCTGTGTATAAATTATCTGGTTTTCGAATGAACATTGAACAATTTTTGGTGGAATGTGACCGAAATACTTTAAAATTGGTTTTGTTTTGATAGGAAGGTGTTTTATGTAGTTGGTGTTAGAATTAAAGATTGTAGCGATCATTGATAATGTATCGTATCTCCACATTATATCGGGATCGTGTCGTGATCTCCACCCTTATATCGATACGTATCGTGATCTCCACCCTTATATCGGGATTGGTATCGTGTCGCGGCTTCAGTGCACAATAGCTTTGGCAATATATCGTCGTGATTAAAAGTTTAGTATCATGATGTATTGTATCACAGATTGTATGCCAATACCGGCACTAGTCAGGTCAGTCTAGTAGACTTGTTAATGATAGTCCATATAATGATACTAAGTCTACTGGAAATAATGCTAATAGCCTTATTCAGGCTCATAGACTCAATCCTTTTTAGCACAGCCTGCATTATATCAAGTTCGATGCTCTGAATTACTGTTCAGAATGGGTGTGTCTTGTCATGCAAACCACTTAAAATTGTTTGTTTCCTTGCAAACTTGCTGGCATGGTTTTATAAATGTCACCCACAGTGAGCCCTTATAAATCTGCTTACTAGTGATAATGTTTGCCCCATATATGATAAACATGATTGTTGGGTAGCTACTGTTTGATAATCAGCAGCGATGATATCAAGTGAACTTGTTTATCGCTCTGATAATGATATCTGTGACTATTGTCTTGAACTTGTGTCTTTGTATTTTAGACTGCTGAAATGTAAGGCCTTCACCATGACAACTGATTGATTGACATGTGGTATCCATGATGCTTTTATAGAATAACATGTGACAGCTATTTATGATCCTTGCATGATCACTGTTTATGGCAGCTGTAGAAACCATGACAATTGTATGGAAACACATTGCAGTTGTTTAATGATCCATGTGATATCACCATGACAACTGTTCATATGTGTGGTAACCATGACAATTGTATAATAACAACATGACAACTATTTATGATCCATGTGTGATCACCATGACATCTATCCACAGCAGGTATGGTAACCATGACAACGGTATATGGCAACTATTTTTTATCCATGTTAATGATCACCATGACAACTGTTACATTCTATATCGATTCTAACAATGACAGGCTCTTGCTCATGCAGAGATTTATAACGGCAGAGCAAACCTGCTTCATCCTTCTGATTTCCCAAGCTACTCCAAATCGTCAAATGAGCAAATAACTGAAACTGAAGTGAAATTATTCCATCATATTAGTGGTCGTCATTACATTACAGCATCAGACAAACAAAGGTTGTACATGTATTGTGTTGAATTTAGTGTTTAGCGGGTGGTATGTGTCTGTGTACAATGGATGTCGTTAATGTGAAAATGTCTGTACAACTGCATGTATTTTGAAAGGATTTGTATAAACAATCAGAACAATGTCACTGTAAACCGAGTGTTTGTATGTAACCTAGCTGTCCATATGGGAGAATGTTTATGAATCACCAGCCCTTAAGCCCAGCAGGATAGTTTTAGAATGTCAGCCTTGATGATGAGATTACAGCTAAATTGGTGGCAATGGGATAAATTGCCTGATTAGAACTATTAAACTGAGGGCCATGTAGCCATTTCAGAATATGCTCAGTCAGTCTGTTCACTCATACCAGTATGTGCTATATTTTGGTCAGGGAAGTCGACCCCATGAAGATCCAGGAATTGATCTTTAGTAACAGACGCTTGTTGCTAGAGGCGACTAACAGGATCGGTTGGTCAGGCTCGCTGACTTGGTCATTGTCATTGTAGTTGCGTAGATCGATGCTCATGCATTTGATCACTGGATTGTCTGGTCGAGACTTGATTATTTACAAATTTCTGCCATGTAGCTGGAATATTGCTGAGTGTGGCATAGAACTAAACTCACTCACTCACTCGCTAGACCAAGTCAGAGGCAGCAGCAAACGATCTCATATAGGAATTGAGAATATCCCACTTCCTGTTACTGTTATTGCTACTGCTTTAGGTGCTAGAGGTCAAAATGACACCATAATTAAGAAAAGAATCACTTTTACAAGCCCAGTTTTGAACAAAACAATCATTTGTTTTCTTCTTTTACAGTGAAGGAGTCTAAATTTGGAATTATTGATAAATATCTCCTCAGTGGTCAAATTCATATTCAGACATTGTTTAACAAACCTCGGGTTCCTTTGAATTGAAGTCAAGTCTGTGGGTAGATCTCTAATCTATATTAGAATCATTCACTGGCTTGTTTTTAAAAAAAAATCCACTTGAAAAGTCAATGATATATATGACCATCTCCTATTGATGGATAAGAGTAGCATAGATGACTGAGATGAACCCATCTTGCTGTGAGAGTAGTTCTGTTACGATTATCTCGTGTATGCCATGAATCCAACCATTCACTTCAATTTTTGTCACTTGTTCAAGCAGTAACTTGTGACATTTTGCCAAGGCCACTTACAACACTGTCATTAGGCTAGAAGTGGCATTGTTCGTGATGCATCATTCTTTTGCTTTACAGAAATTATGGGTATGTTTCAACCTAAGCAATTACATGACCTGTTATTTTAGTTCCTTGATATGAAACTTAAAGTTCATAAATATTTGTATTCATTATGCATATATATGTACACATCATATACACCTCATAGTGTATTCTTTGCAGCCTCTAGTGTAGAGTTGTGTCCCCTAATCCATCCAGGATCCGATGACAATTGATTATTGGTTGAAGCTAGATTTGCCCTGATAATTATTCACTTATTTACCTTAGTATAACTGAATAAGTTTTCAAAGAATCATTTACCCACTCTCACTTTCCATGTGGTTGTTAGAAAGAATTTTAAGTCATTGCTTGGTATGTTTTTAGGTTAAACTTGGATGAAAAGAACTTTTCTTTTTAGGGTGATAGGTGGTAATGTTTTTGTAGTGAAATATTTGTGCAGCTGAGTATAAATGTGACAGAATTGTTGTTGTGTGTATGGCTTAGTTGACACAGCATTGTAACCTTGGTTACTTGTTGTTTATTATTTTGGATGGTTTAACATTTGCATGCTTATATGGGGGAAAGGGAATATTATTGATCTGTATATATTTCCTGATATTATTGAGTTGATCCTTGTCACCAATCACCATAATGTCATTATGACCATATTAATAATGCCATGATGAAGTTAAAATTGTAAATTAAGTATTGTGACCTAGTATATACAAAAGTAAATTTGGTATTTATTTGGATAAGCTGAAAACCATTACGAAGTATATTGCTCTTTTGAGATATTATTACGGTAAATAGTGATTGTGAAATTTCTTTTGTGAAAGCTAACACAAGTTTTTATGTGGATTCAATGATAAGTTAATTATGAATATTTCTTGTCTTTTAAACATGATAAAGGAAAATGTATGTTTACAATGTAACCAAAGTAAAGTCAACAGCTTTGAAATAAATTGTTAATTTTGAATATTTTTTTATTATCTTGTTTATGCATCAATTTTAACAGTATATCATGCAGGAATCACAACTTTTAGCCAAAACAATTGACCAATGTCTACTTGTTGCTCCCAGGTGAAGATTCAGGGAGGAAACAATGCCATGCTGCAGTCTGCCTGTGAGGTTGTTCCTGGGGAAGTCTGAGGGGTGAATCATAGCGTGTGGGAGACTCTGGAGGGTCACCAGAGAGCCATCATGGGAAACATGACTGTGGAGGTGAGGATAGGGTATACTGAGTAGGGGATGTGATGTAGAGGTGCGATCCGCAGTGTGGCCCAGGAGACTCTGGAGGGTCACCAGAGAGCCATCATGGGCAACATGACTGTGGAGGTGAGGATAGGGTATACTGAGTAGGGGATGTGATGTAGAGGTGCGATCCGCAGTGTGGCCCAGGAGACTCTGGAGGGTCACCAGAGAGCCATCATGGGCAACATGACTGTGGAGGTGAGGATAGGGTATACTGAGTAGGGATGTGATGTAGAGGTGAGGTCTGCAGTGTGGCCCAGGAGACTCTGGAGGGTCACCAGAGAGCCATCATGGGGAACATGACTGTGGAGGTGAGGATTGGGAATACTGAGTAGGGGATGTGATGTTGAGAGCGAGGTCTGCAATGTTGCCTAAGACTCTGGAGGGTCACCAGAGAGCCATCATGGGGAACATGACTGTGGAGGTGAGGATAGGGTATACTGAGTAGGGATGTGATGTTGAGAGCGAGGTCTGCAATGTTGCCTAAGACTCTGGAGGGTCACCAGAGAGCCATCATGGGCAACATGACTGTGGAGGTGAGGATAGGGTATACTGAGTAGGGATGTGATGTAGAGGTGAGGTCTGCAGTGTGGCCCAGGAGACTCTGGAGGGTCACCAGAGAGCCATCATGGGGAACATGACTGTGGAGGTGAGGATTGGGAATACTGAGTAGGGGATGTGATGTTGAGAGCTGAGGTCTGCAATGTTGCCCTAAGACTCTGGAGAGGTCCTCAGAGAGCCATCATGGGAACATGACTGTGGAGGTGAGGATAGGGTATACTGAGTAGGGATGTGATGTTGAGAGCGAGGTCTGCAATGTTGCCTAAGACTCTGGAGGGTCACCAGAGAGCCATCATGGGCAACATGACTGTGGAGGTGAGGATAGGGTATACTGAGTAGGGATGTGATGTAGAGGTGAGGTCTGCAGTGTGGCCCAGGAGACTCTGGAGGGTCACCAGAGAGCCATCATGGGGAACATGACTGTGGAGGTGAGGATTGGGAATACTGAGTAGGGAATGTGATGTTGAGAGCGAGGTCTGCAATGTTGCCTAAGACTCTGGAGGGTCACCAGAGAGCCATCATGGGGAACATGACTGTGGAGGTGAGGATAGGGTATACTGAGTAGGGATGTGATGTTGAGAGCGAGGTCTGCAATGTTGCCTAAGACTCTGGATGGATCTTCTGATAGCCATCATGGGGAACATGACTAGAGGTGACTAGGGGAATACTGAGTAGGGGATGTGATGTAGAGGTGCGATCCACAATGTGGCCCAGGAGACTCTAGAGGGTCACCAGAGCCATCTTCGGAAACATGACTGTGGAGGTGAGGATGCGGGGATATGGTGTAGGAGGAGAGTCTTACAGATGAGATGATACATTTTGATACATCATAATACATGAAGTTACTGTTGCTGATACTGTACAACTCAGGTATTGTACTTCATTTAATTTGTAGGTTCCGGTTACTTAAGTATTTTTAGGAGTATATGTTACTCTAGTTTATCTATTATGACTCAAAAGAAGCTGAAGTAATCCCGATTCTTTCATACTGACACCCCGATAGAATACCCTTGCATATTGGGGTAGAATAGGGTTCCCTTTACTGTTAACAAATACATGTACTATAGTACTGTCGGAAATAGAAAAAAACGGTATTTTCTCATTTATCTCTACAATTTATGTAGTTGATATGTGAAAGTGTGAAATATCTGTTAAACTAAGTTCGGCCTAACTACAGTCTCAGTGGTAGAGAGATAGGAAACGGAGAAAAAGGACTTTACTGAGGGGAAATTAGTGCAAAAATGAGCAATGCGGGTTTTTTCTAAGTCCAAAAGACTTATTTTGAACAGACCATGGCTTTATGCAAATTAGTGTGCGACGATATTGTATTACAAAGGACACTTTTTAAATGCCCAATTTGAAATTAGACAAACGATAGCTGACGATTATAAACGATAGCTGACGTAAAAAATAATAACTTTTATTCCGAAACTATTAAGGATGTAGCTACCATGCAGTCTCACTGTCACTATAAAAGAAACAGATAGGGCCATCTCAAAAAAGCAAAACCTGGGGTCGGGCTTGGGGATAGAGATATCAGCTAAGATCAGATAATCCTTCAGGGCAATTGTACTGGGGAGGTACACGCACGCCATAAACAATTTACAAATAATATCCAGTCCTGTCGATCTTCGGTGGTCATGCCACCTATATAATACTGATGCGCTTCTATGGTTTTCGGTATCATACTCTTTTACATATTCTCAACATAAGCTATATGAAACTATATGAAAGAAAGACAATGTAAAGATGGTAATCAATAGATGAGACATAGTCAACACACATGAAAAAGCACAAAATATCTTTGAGATGACCCCTTGTGCCTGTAGGCAGCACGTGCATTTCATGCAAGGTGAGTCGATCGGGTCCGTCCGTCATACCTGGCTGAGCGACCTAATTGCCATCTATAGTCTGATCTATTGTTTTCAGCAGCTATTCATTATTTTTCTAAGTTTTGCCCGATTTTACTAAAAGTAAATATGCTTTTCTGGATATCGATTACGATCCCACTGAACGCCCAGTTAGGCGGAAGTGGGTTATTTCGACATATGATATTTTCGATTGTGTAAATTTTAGGGTTACAGAGTAACAGCCTAAAAACAGTTTTTTTCTATTTCCGACAGTACTTTAATTGGCACAACACTTTCATGACGATCGGAAATTGAATATTTTCTTTTATTGGAGCTTCAATGTGTTAACCTGCAGACGTTTTGTAATCAAGAAGTTTAATTGATGGTCTATCTGGCCCGGAATTGATTATTTAAAATTTGCTGTTATATTGCTTTCAAATCTCTCTGCCATATTAGAGACTTGACAGCTGATGCAACTTTAGGCAAGGGTGTGCTGTATTTCTTACATTTGAGTCAGAGTGGCTATATCCCCATTGCTTGTCTTTGAGTCTATTATATGGGACAAGTGTACAATTCCTAATTACTTATATCATTCCTGATGGTCTTGTGTGGCAGGAAATCTACAAAGACAGAAAGAAGTTCTCCAAGGCTGTGTTCAAGTGGCTTCATCTGATCTTGTGAACATGGGGATCGCTGTCAGCTATACACTGAAGGACATCCGAGATGAAGAGGTATGTAGAGTATATACCTTGATACACAACACACAATACAAGATGTTACATATGCACTGTTAGGAAAGGGTTTATGATAATTCACACTCACACACTTGTCTCAGAGATGCTAAATTTGATTGGTCAATCATGCTGTGTGACTTTATCGTGTCATCATAAAACCAAATGGTTTTGACACTGCTGAAGATTTCACCATTGGTTTGATTTCTTATGAAAAGCATACAGCCAATCATTTCTGGTGGTGATTTGTGAAAATCTTCATGACAATTCCTTCAGACCCAAATCATGTTATTATTCCAAGTTGGGTGCGGTGGGGTAGCCTTGTGGAACCTGTTCTACACATACGATATATTGTGGATCAGGGTCTGAATTCATCCTCACACAATCATGTGGATTGGGTGTTTTAACCTTGCTGGTGCTGTGCTATTTTGCCCAGTCATGGTGGACTGGTGATCATGCTATCAACCATCAGTTCATTTATTGGCTGCCATGTTATGGCTGGAAACGTGGTGATTGCTGCATATTGCAGTTTCCAGTCCGAGTCACTCACCTGTTCTGTACCATGATATATCAGTATAGAGTGTTCTCCAACAACCCTAGAGGTGCCTCACAGGATCAGGGTGGTGGGGTACCCTTGTGGTTAAAGCCTTTGCTCATCAGGCTGAAGACCCAGGCTCGATTCCCCACATTTGTGTGAAGCCATTTCTGGTGTCACCTGCTGTGAAGTTGCTGGAATATTGCTAAAAGTGTCGTGAACCCATACTCGCTAACTCACTCGCAGGATCGGGTGGTCAGGGTTGGTTGATGCATCTGATCGTATCTACTGACAAAAGGTTCTGGTGTCCCCCGCCGTGATGTTGCTGGAATATTGCTAAAAGTGTCGTGAACCCATACTCACTCGCAAGATCGGGTGGTCAGGGTTGGTTGATGAATCTGATCGTATCTACTGACAAACGGTTCTGGTGTCCCCCGCCGTGATGTTGCTGGAATATTGCTAAAAGCGGCGTAAAACCAAACTCAGTCAGTCAGTACTGACAAATGATGCTCATGATGTCAATCACTGGATTGTCTGGTCCAGGCTTAATTATTTACAGACTGCTGTCATTTAGCTGGATGGGGAGTAAACAAGAATGAGTTGTTACTGTCATTGGTACACAGTGCTAGGGTATGCAGCCACTGCAGATATCCATGACATAGCTGAAATAGCGCTGACTTCACAATGAGATTCCACTTATTCTTGAGCATTGGATTACAAACATTGTAACTGTTTGTAGTTAATTATGTATCCTGAAGATAAATGATCATTACATCTTTTTTCTTTCTACACCAAAAATGTTCTATTTCATGTTTGCTAACAGTTTTTCAATAACACATGAGGTTATTTTCAGCTTGCTCTTTTTCCTGACGGTGGGCATCATCATTAAAACAAGAACTTTTTCCTTTTTTCAATTTTGTCTTTATCTTTCTTTTTACGTAGTATCCTGAAGAAAGGATAATGTAGTTTAAGGATATTTTGTGAAATTGTGTGTCTCACAAAAAAAAAAAGTACCCGATATATTTTATGATTTTTAACTTTGTTATATATGAAGACCATCAACTGAATATTGAATATTTAATGAAAGTAACATATTGTGGCTGGATATAATCATGACGTGGCTGAAAATACTACAATTGAAAAACTTATACAACATAACAACATTAGCAACAAATATTGAAAAGGTGATGAAGGTCGAAAAGTAAACTTGTAAGTAGTTGTGTTATATGGATTTTGTCATGGAAATAGTATCCCAGATAATATGTATATATATATGAAAATCATTTATCAGTCTTACATAATTTACCTTGGGAAATGGTATCAAAGATTAAATCAAGTTTGAAAATCATTTATTATTCTTATGTTATATCAGTTCAGTGTCTCAATGCTCAGATGCTGTTTGCCTTAAAGCTAAATAACACTTCAGAAGTAGTCATTGCTTGGAGGCGCAGTGATAGTTGCATGTTTGTGTCCTTCAAGCTAGCCAGAGCCGATACCATAGCAAGTATGTGTCTTTACAGGGTTATCTAACAGCTCTAGGTATGAAACGACAGCTGAAGTCAAGAGATGCACGATAGGTGAATCTGAAGCACAACGATGATGCAGGCATTAAGGTGATGCTATCATGCAATGTGTATGGACGCCAAAATGCTTATGTGAAAGTTCACGCTGTGTATCATAATCATTGTTGTCATCATCCCCATCTTTGGTGGTGGTTCTGTCACAGATGAATCCAAGATGGCTGTATTGAATCAGCAAAACCTCATGAAACATATATCTAATCTATTTCCAAAAGACATATTCCGTGGAACAGATTCTCATGTCAGTTATGAAAATGTTACCCATGTATTTGAGGCTTTTAAGAAGTGGAAGCGTTGTGATGCTGATGCTGAATTCAACTTGCAGCCATCTTGGACATCAAGTTAACATACCTGTCTGTCTAGCTCATCCAACCAGAAACAGAGGGCATCACCAGACATGCAAACAAGATTTGTTATATTTGTCAAACATTCTTTCCACGACTACTGTTTTCTTGCCCAGGGTTATTTGAGAGCCTTAGGTATGGCAAGAACGGCACAGGTGAAACGTGATGCCCGTATCGGTGAAGCTGAAGCACAGAGAGATGCAGGCATTAAGGTGAAATCATGAATAAAACTGAAATTTAAATTTATTGTTGAACTGTGTCGATTTGAATTTGGCTGTTTTTGAACTTGAAATTGCCAGTTACCAAATTCAAGTTTCAGTCTTCATGTTCAAATTTTAATTTCTTAAAATATTGAGGGTTTTTTTAATATAAAATTTGAATGTGGTCTTGCTGTAAGGTGATGACATTTATCGTATTTATCAGATTTGTTTTTAAAAACAAATTTTTAATCTGTCACAATTTTTACAAAGGTTTTAAAAAATGTTATATTTCGTTGAATTTTTATTAAAGGTGTGGTTTAATTTTAAGTATGAGATCATACTACAACTAAGCATACAATGGAGGAAGACCATGACTGTGCTATCGAAAGTTTATGGATGGTTTGCATGTTTGCTTGATTAAAGAGACAATGTGATGCTGATAGTTAGTAGCATTTAATATAAGTATTCATATTAATATTTGCTAGTGTGACCAAAATTTACCAGACTGATAGCCTGAGCTCTGTAACCTTTGCAACCCCCTACTTCTGCATTAAAGCATTAATTAAGGCTGTATGTTTGGACTAATTGTAACTGCTAACATTGATTCCTCTGTTAACAAAGCCCCTCCTCCAATATATACAGGGCCGGTGGGGTAGCCCAGTGGTTAAGACGTTCGCTCGTCACGCTGAAGACCCGGGTTCGATTCCCCACATGGGCACAAGGTGTGAAGCCCATTCTGGTGTCTCCCGCGGTGATATCGCTGGAATATTGCTAAAAGCGGCGTAAAACCATACTCACTCACTCACTCCAATATATACCACTTAACTTTTCAAAGGAATATTCCTGTTCAACCTTTCAAAGGAATATTCCTGTTACCATAGTTACTTTTATTCATGAAACATTCTGTAACATCTAATCAAAACTTTGTAGGTGTTTCTCCATCACTCCATCAAATACAGTATAACACCCACAGTCTCATTAGTATCAGATCTTTGACTCATGTTTGAAAGTTAAAGGAAGTATTCCGCGATAAACAGAGCAAAATATATAATGAATGTATCTCAAAAGTGAAGTTTATTGACCTGCTGTGAATGTATGTGTGACAGTTCATGAATATTGTTGTAGATATTTTATGCACCTTTAATGTCAGAAGGGCATGACATCAACAGCCTAACAGGAGTACTGTTGAAAAAATAAATTCCTTGTGGGGGTTTTCGTGGTTAAGTTCAAACTTTCAAAACTTCTTGATGTAAAGATACATGAAAAATGGCACCTGATCAGTTTGAAAAGATGGCACTTGGTTTGCTTAACCCACATATCATATGTTTCAATATTTGCTGAGAATTCATGTGTCACAACTTCCTTTGGAGGTGGCCTTTAGCATGCCTTCATACAGGGAAATGTTACATTGGAGTACAAGATCTGATCCTTAGATTCACTTTCACCCTTAGCTATACAGTTTCATTGCATGTGTTGGGCGTTGGGGTAGGCAGATGGTTAAAGCGTTTGCTCATCATGCTGAAGTCCCATGTTTGATTCCTTGTATGGGTAGAATGTGTGAAGCCAGCTTCTGGTGTCCCTTGTCATGATATTGCTGGAATATTGCTAAAAGTGGCGTAATACCACACTCACTCACTCACTCACTGCATGTGTTGACCCGTGAAGATCCGGGGTAGAATAGGTCTTCAGCAACCCATTCTTGTCATAAAAGGCGACTATGCTTGTCGTAAAAGGCGATTAACGGGATCGGGTGGTCAGGCTTGCTGACTTGGTTGACACATGTCATCTGTTCCCAATTGCGCAGATCGATGCTCATGCTGTTGATCGCTGGATTTTCTGGCCCAGACTCGATTATTTACAGACCGCCGCCATATAGCTGGAATATGGCTGAGTGCGGCGTAAAAATAAACTCACTCACTCACTCACTGCATGTCTTGGTGTACACTGGCTGTGCAAAGTTCTGCCCCACGGGGACCAAGTGTTTATTATAAGGTGCAGTGGGCCAGAAAATATAATGCACATATTTGGGTGTGGGGGGGTCATGAAAAAATGTTTCAATAAAATATGAAGCGCTTTAGCTTTTTGTCAATTCAGGCAGGGTCATAAAAACACTGTACTTGCATAATTGTCATACATCAGTGCATTAGCCTCTCCCTCTTTCTCCCCTCTAAAAATCCCCGCAGGCCTTACACCACACCACACCACACCACACCACACCACACCACACCACACCACACCACACCACACCACACCACACCACACCACACCACACCATACGCACATACCACACCAACCCGCCACCCACCCTATACCAAATGATTGGTCTTCAAGTACCACCTGGATCTGTTCATCATGAGCTTGAATCCCAGATTTGTCCTGAACATGGTGCTTGGTTTGTCACCACCAAAATCATGGATTTATAAAAGTGGTAACTGTCTATTACTCAGCACTTCAGACTTTCTTCTTACCTACCTCATGCGTGGTGGTAACTGAAATAGGGTTCAGAGCCCAATGTGCTCACACTAAATACATGAAACAGTTTGTGTGATTCATTGTTTGAAAAGCCAGTTATAGTCTGTTTGCAGTGAAAACGTACCGATGAATTCAGCTGTAAACAAAAAAGTAAATCAATTAAAGTGAAATTAAGTTTCGAATCTCTTAGTTTTACCTTGCCAATTGAACACTTAAATATCCGAATTTTATTCATCTTAGGATAAAAGTTGTTTAACAAATGATCATAGATTCAAATCGCTATTATTGGTTTGTATTACAAGGGGGTAAGCGTAGTAGAAACAAATGCACGTGCGGTACGTGATGAGTGTTAACTTAGACCAACCATACTTGTTTGGTGTTTCATCTAATTTGCATACCCCCTTGTAATACACACCAATAATAGCGGTTTGAAACCATGATCGTTTGTTAAACAACTTTTATCCCAAGTTGAATAAAATTCTGAGATTCAAATGTTCAATTGGCAAGGTAAAATTATGAGGATTCGCAATCTTATTTTCACTTTATTCGATTTACTTTTTTGTTTAAAGTGAAATTCATCGGTACGTTTTCACTGCAAACAGACTATAGTTACTTCTCTTCCAATTCTTCTAATTCCATATCTGTCTGCCTCAGTGATCATTTTTGTACTGTACCCTAAAGTAAGGAAACCCTTGAAGATCCAGAATTGGTCTCCTCAATCCATGCTTGTCATGATAGGCATAAGGGGATCGGGTGGTCAGGCTTGCTGACTTGGTCAATACTTGTCATTGTATCCAAATTGCATAAATTGATGCTCATGATGTCAGTCACTGGATTGTGTGGTCTAGATTTGATTATTTACAGACTGACATTATACAGCTAGAATATTGCTGACTGATAAAAAAAAAATAATGCAAGGGAGAGAAGTTAACACTGGATCCTCAGACAAATTGTTTCATAGTCAGTGTTAAATGAAATACCGAAATGTAAAACACTTTTTGTGGTACTTTAGTGTGAACTAGGGTCCCGACTCCTCATATTGCAGTTGTTGTAAACACGATGTTTTATTGTAATCTTTATCCTGTCTTTAATTCTGTTTTGTCTCCGCAAAACAGGAAGCTTATGCAGAAGAGAAGAGGATGGAATCGCGTTTTGCTAATGACATCGAGATTGCCAAGGCACAGAGAGATTTCCAACTGAAGAAGGCTATGTATGACATGGAGGTCCACACAAAGAAAGCCCAAGCTGACTTGGCTTATGATCTGCAGGTAAGATATCTTCAACCTATCCTTTCAAATATGTAAACCAAATATGTAAGTACCACAGGCATCTCAATTTTCTGTCCAGAGTTATCTTCTTTGAAGTCCCAGAAGCTGATGGTTGCAGAGATGCCAACTATTATGTTTTTGAAAATAATAAATAATATTTATCTAATTGAGCCAAAACATATGTTGGCACCCCAAATTATGATTGTTGACATTTTATCAAATATCACAGACAACAGATTGTTCATGCTCTGGTCGTGTGACCATCTACAGGGATCATGATTTTCTGCAATACAGTTAATAATGTATTGTCACATGGTTTGGCAAGAATTCAATTTTTCCTTCACACAATAATGTGTCATGATTGTCAAAAATTTCACATATGTAGGTAATGTGATTTAACGAGATATTAGTCATCACAACGCTTTGGGGTATAATATTTCTAGAAAAAATGCAGAAAATGAAAAACGATCCGTCATTTCGTACCTCTTGGATAAAGGTATGCCCTCAGATAATGACATATAAAATATGTTAGTATAGTATTGGATGACTTCCCGTCATAATCAAGAGTCAAAGCTTTGGATTGCTTGATTCATATTTAGTTGGGGGCTGTTTCTTTTAAGGAGGCCCCCATTTAAGTCTTTCAAAAGCATTGTGTCCAGATATTCAAGCTCGCCCTTTTACAATATACTGAGAGTTGACACTTGTGTGACTATTCAGTATTTACTTTGAACCTTTAGCATCATGTGTGAAAAAGTGAAAACATTAGAATAAGTTTTGTCCTTATGATTTCGTCGTCTGAAAGGGGGTGGGTAGTGTCTCCAAAACAAGCTGTTTCAGTAAGCATGAAGGGGGAATCACTTTAACAAGCGATTGTACTTTCAAATTTCTTTTTTATGCACTTTAAAATCTAAGTTTGATTCTAGCAGACGTCTACCTATCTCAAACACAGAAAATGTTTCTTGCATATTTTGTTACCTGAAGTTTGTGGTGCATTTATTGCAGATTTTGCGCTTTTGGGGGGTACCAAGATAAAATTTCAAACAAATGGGGATCGTAAGGCTGGAACGTAGCAAAACCAATTTGCTTGAGGTTGACAGATAATATGTAGAAAAATATTGACCTCCGATTGTGGATTGTAGGTGATAAGCAGCACTAATTGTTACACATTGTTTCCAGGCTGCCAAGACAAAGCAGCGCATCAAGGAGGAGCAGATGCAGGTGACAGTGATCGAGCGTTCTCAGCAGATTCAAGTACAAGATCAGGAGATCGTGCGTCGAGAGCGAGAACTGGAGGCCCAGGTTCGCAAGCCTGCCGAGGCTGAGAAGTACCGACTTGAAATGATTGCGGAGGCCAACAAGTGAGTCAAGAACTTCTGTTACTTTTTTGTCTTTGCAGAGGGCACAGGTGGCCCAGTTGTCTAAGGCAGCAATTCATTGAGTCAAGTTTCGTATTTTGTGGATAACAGAAACCATTGACTGTGGGTTTTATCTCGACTCATCGGGGACCCCTTATTTTAAGGGTCCTTGCAGGCATTACGAGGGTCCTGTGGAGTAACAGTGTAAAGAACTGTATGTTTTGAAATTTCTTTAGAGCCTGGAATTGATCATGTGGACAAGGAGTCTTGGGGAGACAAAAGTGCCTCCAGGGACATCCTCTTGGTGACAGAGATGAACGTTATCAGGTTCAATTAGTTGAATGTTTATCATAGAACCCAACATTTTGCTCATGATAGCAACCACTGTTTTTCTGGCCAAAGAGCCCAAATGTTGGCTAAAATTTCTAGATTGGATGGAGGATTTATAAATCAGAAGCAGGCAACAGGTGTCCACATTCTTGCTCAATGCCTTCGATTGTGAGTTTCTCCAGTCCTGCATTACTTCAACTCTCATCCCAATTTAATACTGTGATATTTCTGAAGTACTGTTCAAATGGGCACTTTTTAATAAGTATGAACACCTTGTATAGCAGCGTGTGTTTTCTTTCAGGAACCGAGTTGTGATGGAGGCTGAGGCAGAGGCTGAATCAGTCAGGGTAAGCTCTTGTTTTGTTTCGAGGGCGATGAGGTAGCCTGTATTTTCTTAAAGCAGCAAGTAAACATAATACTTTTGTACAGAATGATGTCACATAGTTTTTTCTTTGACAGTGGGGCGGTGGGGTAGCCTTGTGGTTAAAGCATTCGCTCGTCATGCCGAAGACCCTACATGGGTACAATGTGTGAGGCCAATTTCTTTTGTCTCCCGCCATGATATAGCTGGAGTATTGCTAAAAGCGGTTTTATACTATACTCACTCACTTCTTTGAAAGTATATTGAGAGCATGATTGATCTTGTAGGTTGGGTAGAAGCCTCTTAAAAGTTACAGGTAATATGGCTACCAGTAATGTACAGTTCCATCACAAAAATATTTGATAAAAGAATGTATTTTAACCTGCCTGGTATGTTTGTGTACTAGATGAAGGGAGATGCTGAAGCCTTCGCTATTGAGGCCAAGGCCCGTGCAGAAGCAGAACAGATGGCCAAGAAGGCTGATGCCTGGAAGGACTTCCAGGAGGCTGCAATGGTGGACATGGTATTGGAAACACTCCCCAAGGTAGGGACTAGGCTTATATGTCAGGGTGCCTTGGGGGTTGGGGGGGGTGGGGTGTTTGTTTGCTGAATGGTCCACACTTGGACATACAAAGCCTGTTTCTTATTACCAGTCCTGTCCAGGAAAAATGTTAACACGCACTCAGCTGAATATCAGGTGCTTTCTTTCCCCATGATTTTGCAGGGAGTAGCCTTGTGATTAAGATGTTTGCTTGTTGCACTGAAGACTGAGGTTTGATGTCCAACATTTGTTCTTCTCACATTTTGTGTTCCTTTTCTGGTCTGTCGAGGGTTAAATTGATACAGCTAAAACATTTGTTCATTTTACTGTAGTTGATTTGTGGTGGCTTGTGGAGTTCACAGTATCAGCTTTCCAAGTTGGCTGCATATTGTATGTGGATCCCTACCCTTGCTATGTTGCAAATTGCACATCTTTAAAGATGACTAGTATGTTAGGAATCAATCATGGCTTGGAACGAGCTTGTACTGCTCATGAAACAGATAAAACCAACCTTGTAAAAAGTATTGTTAATGCAAAAAGTGTTCCAGAATTGTTTGTGTTCGATTATGAAAAAACGTGATCGATTGCTTGGTCATTGCGACCAATCTTCAATTAATCGGACCACTACTAATAGCAATGCTGTGCATAGCGGCAAGATGAACGTACTGACGGTAAACTATCTTTGTTCTCAGTTGGCTGCTGAGGTCTCTGCTCCATTGACCAACACAAGGAAGGTTACCATGGTTTCCAGTGGCAAGGGTGAAGTTGGCGCTATGAAACTGACCAATGAGGTGATGGGTATCATGGAGAAGCTGCCCAAGGTTGTGGAGAACCTCACTGGAGTCAACATCAGCAGGGTAAGTACATGTTGCCTTACATCAGCTACAGTCCGTTTGGCTCAAAGCCGATCGATGAATTGCAATCTAACTCGAAAACTAATAAACATGATCAGCGTTTAATTGAGTATTATAATTAAAAGATCAGACCAACTCTGAGTTCTTTGCAGAATTTATGTCCCAAAATAAAAAAGTTGTTTAACAAATTGATCACAGTTCTCTATTTTTTTACGAGGGAAGAGTGCAAAGAGGAATAGCCAGGTGTGCGAGAAGCATGAGCACAGGTTCCGACATAGTTATTGATTCAATTACCTGTGCTGGGAGATACACACGATTAAATACTCGCATGAAGTCACGTGGGTAGGGGCAGGTTGGGTAGCCTAGTGATTAAAGCGTTCGCTCATCATGCCGAAGACCCGGTTCGATCCCCCACATGGGTACAATTTGTGAAGCCTAAAAGCGACGTAAAACCACTCACTCACTATAAAGTTTATGATTTTTTCAAGGCTGAAACACAGAGGACTGGACCCAAATATGTAAAATGCACAGCATGTGCTTTTGGGTTGTCTGAGCAACAATTAAAAACACCTACAGAGCAGAAGTAATGGCGTTTCGGCCAACAGTAACACACCTGAAGGGGCTGGATCACAACCAGAGACAGTAGAAAAGCGTGATTCATTTCAAAAACTTGCACAAAATTGGGTTCCATTAGAAAAAGATTAGTGGAAACAATAGGCGTCTTGTCTGTGAAGGAATGGTTTGCCAATTTCATTAAAGGCAACAAGACCTGATTTGTACAGAATTGTTAAAGCAAATATGAATAATACTGTGTGTGGTTGACCAATACCTAGAGAGTCATGGTTATGAAGTGCTTCGCCTCTCCCCCAACCATTGTGACCTTAACCCCACAGAGCTGGTCTGGGGTATCATCAAGTCTGTCGGAAGAAAAAACACCGCCTTCAAACTTGGTCGTGTACAGAAACATGTCAGCAATCCATCAGTAACATATTGCAAGAAATATGGCAGAGATGTGTTGACAAACTGAAAAGGATATTGAAACTAAATACTGGCCACCATTAGACTGGTTATCGTTCGAGTGGACTCAGAGAGCAGTTGTCAATATTTTACTGATAGTTTGTTAAACAACTTTTTTATTTTTGGACATAAATTGTGCAAAAATATTAGTATTATATGTTTATTAGTTTTCGAGTTAGATTGCAATGCATCCTTCCACTTTTGAGCCAAACGGAGGATAGATGGGGGCACATGGCCTGACATTACCTAGGACACATTAGCAGGCTGATGACACAGTGTGATGATAACATTTTTATTATTTATTATTTTTATACGTTTTATTCTGAAATGTAGATTTTCCGTAGGACTTGTTTCATTCTCTGCATTTGTGTTAAACCCTGAAGAAATTTTGAATTGTCTCAGCAATGATCATGTTAGCATTTTTCATTTCAGGCAATGAAGATTTCCCAGCGTAAGGCATAGAAGATTGCCAGCCTGCTTTTCATTCTTGATCAACATAAGGACACCAATACTCCACCAGGAACTTTCGATAATTATACTAAAATTATTCTCGTAACCATGGTAACATAATCAACCATTCTAAAAGATGATGAAATGAATAGATCTTTTTAAGGAAACAATCTGCATGTGTGTTTATTAACGATAATTACTACATGTGTGTCTTATAGGATGTTTTTTTATCCCTGTTATGTACTAAGTCAATGTGATTTATAGAGTAAAGATTCTCTAGCATAATGCATGCACCTCTTACTTCATCTCTCAGTGTAGAATCAAGATAGAGATATCATTTTTATATACCCTCCCTTCATTTCATCGTCATTGTATACCCTTCAACATTCATTTCATGTCTTTAATGAACAAATCTTACTTCAAACAACAAGAATACAATATTAAACCTTAGGAGGTTTGGAATGGTTGAAGTGGAATCTGTGCTTCGCATAAATGCAACAAAATTTGGAAAAGTACGTTTTGACAAATATTTTCTCCATCAATTCTGTAAGTGAGATAGCGGAAGAGTGTTTATATTTTGAATATTCGGATAGAAGACAATCAGTTGCATTTATGCAAAGCACACAGGTTACTTATTAAGACTGTTTATTTGTACCAAACCATGTGGTGTGCAACTGTTTCCTGTATGTTGCAGGAAATGGTCTGTGCTGATAAGTATGCAGAGTTATCTGCCCATATTTTTCATCAAGGGCAGATAACTTATGCATGCATGTTTGTGTTCAATGATGTTGATGGTTTTGGTTACCAAATAAAAGAATGTTCTTGTCGCTGAAAAGAATTGAATAATACAATCTTATTAAACAGGATATTTTTACTTTTAGATAAACAGTTCTTTTAAACTGAAGTTTCAATGATTAGAAAACATGACTTCGTCCAAACTTGAGGATTTTGTTGGAGTTTCTTAAACAGATGAATGTCAATTTAATTACCTTTTTTTAATATTTATAGAACACCATGCTCTTATCTTATAAATCTTCAAGAAAATGCTTAGCCTTGCCTGATTGAAACAAACTTATGATTATTTATGTTTTGAAAAGTTTGCATTACATTAACAGTGTAAATAACATTCCCATTTCTGAGTGAAGACCCTACGCCACTGTGTAGTGCTGATATTTCCATACTCATGTAGCCGTTAATATTTTCTGTATATATTAATATAAATCTATTTTATGCTAAATTAACTACATAGTCAGTGCAGTAGCTTACATCACAGAACGGGGCACGTTAGTTTTTTCATCAAGGATACAATATGATATCGTTGTTTACATATTCAGTTATGTTGATTGAAAATATTACAGTCTGTTATGTTTTAAACTTGTTAAGAATCAGCTTATTGTTTTATGTGAGGATTTAAAATTATCTTAAAACCTTGTGTTCCTGCTTTTATGATTGTATTTTTTACCGAGAAAGAACTGGGTTGGCCTGACCTTCTAGGGTATGGAGGCTGAACAAATAGACTCGTACCATGCACCTTCAACAGATTCCCATGTAATATGAATGATATGTTGGAGCTGATTTCAAATTGTATTTGCTGGTAATGAACAAGCTAACAGATTGATGTCCAATTGTTTCCTATTAGGTTACAGCATCCCAGGTCTTCTTATTGATAAAATGGCAGCATTATGATCTTTTTTAAGTTATTACTTAATTCGGATACAGGACGGGAAACATATCTTGAACATTCATACTAACTGGTTTTGGGATTAAATTCAATTCATTGCACCCTGTCATCAAGTCATTGTTCAGTGGTTGAGGCTATAACAAGGAAAGATGCAATATTTTTAGTAAATACTTTGTCTAGCCTAGTGATTCTGCTTGTTTGTCATTCTCAGTTGTAATGAGAAGAATTTGTTTCTTTCATGCTTTTGTCTTTATCAGAAGTATCAAAATTTTGAATGCTAACTTCCAATTTTTTTCTTATATATTTGTAATATTTATCTCCTTGCCTTGTTTTTTTTATTATTTTATTTACAAAATTGAAATGAATTCATTAGTAAAAATCACTTTTGTTAGTGTCGTGTATAATTTTTTCCTGTGTGTTTGTACCATTTATTTTTAGTTGATTATATTGGTTATATTTGAAATCATAACTATTTACTATGAATGAGTAATATTTACTGTCCAACTCTCAAATGATTTATCGAAAACTTCTGATTTGATGCTCAAGGTGTTGAAAATATTATGTAGCTTTTATTTATGAATTTGCATGATCACCACAACCTCTGTCCAAACAATGTCTTGTTGTAGTACCTAGTCATCAACAACCTATCATTAATGATATTAAGAACTTTGCATTTCAAACCACGTCTCATCCAGTGTAATCATCTTTTCTGCCAGGAATTTATGAAGAAGCATAATTTTTTTAATCAAACGTTCTCATTTGTCTCCTTTTAAGATTTTACTTTCAGTTTCGTTTACTTGTTTTCCTTAAACCGATTTTGTTTTGATGCTAACTGAAGTCATTTTCATTGATAGTAGGAAGGATACAACCAGCATAAATAACTATTTTCTGTCAAAAATTGGAACATGTAATGGTTTTGAAATGGGTAGCACTTACCAGTCAAGAGCAAGCTCAATTCTGTTTGGCTGTATTGAACAAAATAATTTGGGGCCAGCGGGGTAGCCCAGTGGTTTAAGTGTTCACTTTTCAGGGTTTGATTCCCTACAATGTGTGAAGCCCATTCCTGGTGTACCCTGCCATGCTATTGCTGGAATTTTGCTAAGTTGGCATAAAACCATAATCGCTCACTCACTCACTTGAGATTAGTTGACTCCCGTCATACAAACAATATGTCAAACATGTAATCCTATTTTGCTGTATTTGCATGAAAGTTTACAGTACTGTACAAGTACCCTTCTGTACTATCAACTCTCTGCTGTCATTAAAACTGTCAATAATCAGTTTAAACGATGACCTAAGTTGAATATGAAAACTGATGAAAATTTTGATTTTTCCACAAATTCACATTGCCATATCCTACTGATAAAATACAACACGTGTTTATGAAAGTCATCTTTTGTTGTTTAAAGTTAAAACAGGAAGCAATATTTTGGTATCTTGATTTACACCTTGTATTGTCCAACTTGTGAGCTCACATATCCAAAATGTTGTGATAATATATTCTATTAACAAATTTCCATCAGTTTTCAATGAGACAACTTTTGCATTCAGTTTTGAGAAAGATTTTTTAACTTTGTTATATGCCCTGTTCTTTTAGTTGTATATAGCCAACATTAGCACTTATTCTGTGGTAGATGTAGAAAAACCAAGAATGCGATGTATCAGTCAGAGTTTTTATGTATTCTGAAATTTTATGTCCAAAGTCTGTTTTTACACATATTGCTCATGAATTGTGGTATTCTTGTGCTATCAGTATTTGATATTAGTGTATCGATTTAGAGATAAAATCTTCATAATTATCTAGCTTTTGTTTTATGTCAATACTTGAATATTTGCTCTTGTGGAAAGGACCTATAGGAAAAGTGTCAAGAATCGGCTTGCTAGAAATGGCGTTGAGAACACTTAATTTTCTTTTCTTCTTTGTGTTTCCATATTTTTGACATACAGGCATTTAAACAGTTGGTATAAAACTGATTAAAGTGAAGATGTTACAAATCATAGTACAGTTTTAGTGACACTGGTGTGACGGTTCAAAGGTTACATGGTGGTGGGGTAGCCTAGTGGTTAAATCATTCGCTCATCACGCCAAAGACCGGGTTCGATTCCCTACATGGGTACAATGTGTGAAGCCCATTTCGGGTGTCCCATGCCGTGATATTGCTGGAAAATTGCTAAAAGTGGCGTAAAACCAAAACTCAAAGGTTACATCATGTCAAGTAAACATTGTTGCCTTCTGAAGTGATTTAGTTTGTTTGTTGTTTAACGCCACATTCCAGCTATATGGCGGTGGTCACTAAATAATCAAGTCTTTACCAGACAATCTAGTAATGAACAATATGAGCATCTATTGCATCTGGGGCGGTGGGGTAGCCCAGTGGTTAAAGCGTTGGCTCGTCACGCCGAAGACCCGGGTTCGATTCCCCACATGGGCACAATGTGTTAAGCCCATTTCTGGTGTCAGCCTGCGTGATATTGCTGGAATATTGCTCAAAGCGTAAAAACTAAACTCAGTCAGTCTATTGCATCTATCTATGCATTTGGGATATGTTGACATGCATCAACCAAATCAGCAAGCCTGGCAACCATATCCCATTAGTCGCCTCTAACAACAAACATTGGTTGCTGAAGACCAATTCTAACCTGGATCTTCTCGGGTCCCTGCTGAAGTACCGTAAGTGATCTTGATGTTCATGAAGAGTTCTGCATCTTGTGGGTGTATGGACTTAAGGCAGTATATATCAGGGCGGTTCACACATCTCATACTGACCTCGTAGGACTTGGATACTTGTTTCACTGAAACCATTTTGATTAACCATTTTATTTTTTATATCCGAATTTTTATAAAATGTATAGTGTATGATACAAAAAATTCTCCACAGTAATTCCTGGCATTATTTCCTCTTTCACATTGACATGTTTTCAGATTGATGGATTTAAATGATGACGAACATACACTTCATGGGTTTTAGTACACTGTGTTGTAGGGCTGGGCTGCACTGGCTAATACAATGTTTTCTGAATATATAGGTACAAATACTATTCATGAATACGTTTTGTTTAACATCAAGCAATTAAAACAGCAAACATGCCATATTTTTGCTAAAGATGAAACATTTAAATGATATTTTCTATGAAGTGAACAAAACTGAAATCCATCGTGAACAATGTTTAATGGCAGTGCTGTAAAGGACCTTAGAAAAATAATTTTTTGGGGCAATATTCCTTTTTGCATATCTCATTTAGACAAACAAAAAATCTGAGGATTAGAACACTTAAAAATATTCATAAATATTTTATTCTTGTGACCACGAATAACAAATTGACATTCCAGTTATCGGGTGGTCAGGCTCGCTGACTATTAACACGTGTCATCGGTTCCCAATTGTGCATATCGATGCTAATGCTGTTGATCACTGGAATGTCTGGTCCAGACTCGATTATTTACAGACCGCCGCCATATAGCTGGAATATTGCTGACTGTGGCGTTAAACTAAACTCACTCACTACTTGCTTGATGAATGTCGTTTCACAATTGCTCAGATAGATGTCAATCACTTGATAGACTGGTCTAGTTTTCAGATCATTTCATGTAGCTGCAATACTGTAGAGTAGTATTAGACAACAAACAAAACATGGCTGATACGCAATGTAATTGCAGTTCTTAAATAATAAACCAAAGGAAGAGAGTGTTATGGATGTCAGCTTCTTTATTATGAGGAACACAACGTTTCAGAGTATATCCTTGCTCATTCATAAGGTTTTCTGGTTGTCCCTCGCAGTAATATTGCTGGAACATTGCTAAAAGCAGTGTCAAACTCGCTCACTCATTCATAAGGTGAATGACGGAGTAAGGATATACTCTGAAACATGTTTCTCATAAGAAAGAAGTTAGCATCCATAAACTCTTTGTATCACTTTTTAATGCCATTCAAAGACCTGACAAACCAAAGGTCTGGAGCTAGCGAGTACTTCCACCAATAAGCATTATGAGTGCTCAGATTATGTGTTCTGAACATTTGTTTGGTGCATGCAGCACTCTCTGCTCTACACGTTGCCATTTTTCATTTAAAGCTGCACTCGGCAATATTCCAGCTTCATGACAGTGTGGTCTGTGAATAATGAAATCTGGGCCAGACAATCCAGTGATTGAGATCATGAGCATTGATCTACACAATTTGGGATTTGATAACTCATCAACTGACCACAATTTGCCTCTTCTTACGACAAGTGAGGGTGGTGGGGTAGCTTAGTGGTTCAAGCGTTCGCTCGTCACAACAAAGACTTGGGTTCGCTTCCACACATGGGTACAATGTGTGAAGCCCTTTTCTGGTGTCCCCCGCTGCGATATTGCTGGAATATTGCTAAAAGGGGCTTAAACCATATTCACACACACTCAGTCTTACGACAGGCTTGGGTAGATGCAGTCTATAAGGACATAAAGTATTGATGGTCAATAACTGTGTTGTTCATCCATTGGGAATAACAGGTTAGAATGTCCCAAGCCCCTTATGCTGTTTGTAAAAGCTGAATGAATCAATTGGTCCAACTGAGAGGCTTGGCTGGTATTGTGTCCAGTTCCCAAATGCCATGGATGATTGCCAAGCAACAAACAAACAAAAAATATATGTGTCTTTCACAAGACAAGTTCCTCTATATGCATACCAAAACAAAGCATTTGAACACCTGTTTTTCACATTACTACAGAGGGGGTGGTGGGGTAGCCTAGTGGTTAAAGTGTTCGCATGTCACGCCGAAGACTCAGGTTCGATTCCGCACATGGGTATAAATGTGTGAAGCCCATTGCTGGAATATTGCTAAAAGTGGCGTAAAACTAAACTCACATGACTACAGTGAATGTTTCTTGGCATGACAGATTAACTGTATGGCTGAAATTTCCAAAGAGCCCCGGAACCCATTAAATTCTAGCCAAGCTCCTGTTTGTTTACCACAAACTATACCTTGAAGGAAAAATAAAGGGACAGAGCATGTGTCCAAAGGCTATCCTAAACCATCTGTAATTCACATCATTCCAAACTCATTTTGTTCATTTTCAAACTCAAAATTTGTTACATCACTCTAACACTACATGACAACATGGGGTGGATAGCCCAGTGGTGAAAGCGTTCGCTCATCACTCCAAAGACCTGGGTTTCATTCCCAACATGGGTACAATGTGTGAAGCCAATTTCTGGTGTTCCCTGCGGTGATAATGCTGTAATATTGCTCTTAGTGGCATAAGTCCGTACTCACTCCATGATAACCCAGTCAAGGTTTTCACACAAACATTATGATGAATGGACCTCCACAACCAGTGGTAATAAAATAATAATAGTCCATTTATATTACGCATTTATCTATGCACATTTCATGCTCAAAGTGTTGACAAATTACCCCTGGTCAACAAGTACAGAACACTCTGGAGAATACAACTGGTCGCCTGTCATGCTCTTAAGGTTCAAATTCAGACTGCCATTGTATCAGCCAAGGTACCCAATTTACTGCTTTGGGGGACAGAGGCAATTTTGAACAAACTCACTTGCCTAAGGTGAGACCACATGTATCACATGCTTCATTGTGGGGCAGGACTCAAGTCCTAGAAACACTCAGGGGTCAAGCTACCAAACACAGTCACCCATCCAAGGACTCTCCATAGAAGCCCTTGCTGGTTGTTAGAGGTGAGTAAATGGATTTAATGGCCAGGCTCTGTGATTTAGTTGATGGCATGTTGCTGCATAGAGCTCAGGTCACAAGTCAGTTGAAGGTGAGTGAGTGAATTTAGTTTTACGCCACACTCAGCAATATTCCAGCTATATGGCGGCGGTCTGTAAATAATAGAGTCTGGACCAGATAATCCAGTGATGAACATCACGAACATCAATCAGCGCAATTGGGAATCGATTACATGTGTTAACCAAGTCAGCGAGCCTGACCACCCGATCCTGTTAGTCGCCTCTTACAACAAGCATAGTCGCCTTTTGTGGCAAGCATGGGTTGCTGAAGACCTATTCTACCCCGGATCTTCACGGGTGTTGAAGTTAAGGAACATTGGTTGCAGACAGTACTTGGAGTTGGATGGGTGAGCTGCTTGGCAGCTTGATTCCTGATAGTTTCTAGGATCAATCCTGCCCCACAACGAAGCACACGTGCCACATGTGGTCTCACCTTTGGAAAGTGAGTTTGTTCATGAATTGCTGCTGTTTACCCAGCAGTTAATGGGTACCAGGTGGGATAAGTCATGACAGTTAACCTTCTAGTGCCTCACCGGCAGCTTGGGTTAAGCAGGGTAATAATGTGTTTGTGCTTTGAGCATGCACAAGTGCGTGGTAAACAGGCGCTTTATAAATGGCCATTATTGTAATATAAATCAGAAGATTGTCTGGTCCAGACTAAGTTATTCACTGGATGCCATTTAATATTTTACTTTCCTGAATGCAGTGCAGAGAACAATACATCACATCAGAAACTGATCAAAAGTACCAACATTTTCACACATTGGCTAACAAAATAGCACACTAACTGAAACAATGTTTTCTGGAACCAACATCCTCAGGATTAGTATCAACTTGCAAACTGATCTATCTGAAGTAGCTGAATGCCAGCTCACTGGATATCATACAAAATGATAATGATCCATTGTTGTCTGGCTTTAGCAATTTGTATATTTAAGCCAGTGATACAGGATTTAGGGCAGCATTTTCTGTGTTTCTCATCGCCCGACTGACCCTTCTAATTTTATTGCGTTCCCCACAATTTTTTTTTTCATTCCAACACCGCTGACTCGAACCTAACCTAAAACATA